AAGAAATAAAGAAAGAAATTAAAGACTTCCTGGAATTTAATGAGAATGTAGACACAACATACCCAAACTTATGAGACACTCTGAAAGCAGTGTTAAGAGGAAAGTTCATAGCACTAAGTGCCCTCATGAAGAAACTGGAGAATAGTCACACTAGAGAATTGACAGAACAACTGAAGCTTTAGAGCAAAAAGAAGCAAAGTCACCACGGAGGAGTAGACGCCAGAAAATAATCAAACTAAAGGCTGAAATCAATAAAGTAGAAACTAGGAAACAGTTTTACCACTTGGGGTGACATATTTTCCCCAAGAGTAATAGATAATTTAACAAAAACCCAGTACCAGGCATGAGAAAATTCCTTTCAAGTTGTTGGTCAAGGAAGTTGAAGAGATACCAAACCAATTCAGCAGGTTGCATTCTTATTTGCATATATATACATTAATAATAAAGAATAATATGTCTTGAATCTGAAAGACAGTAGGGGACTATAGTGGGAAATTACCAAGCATTTTAAAAGAAAAGGGGAAATCATCAAGCCATAGGTTTATAGGAAGCCATGTGTCTTAAAGAGGAGATAGATATATAGACTGTATATAGTTATATATTATGACACATAGTCTATTATACTCCGGTTAGACTGGGGTGGCTGATTAACAACAGAAATCGCTGTTTATAGTTGAGGTAGGCAAGCAGTCTAGCACCAGCTCCAGAGGTCGTGGTGTCTGGGGGAGGCCAGCTTCTGGCAGAGAGCCAGAACCTCTTTACTGTGCACTCACCTGAGAGAAGAAAGTTGCTTCTGGGGCCCCTCTCGTAACGTAATAATCCCACCATCAGTGCCTTTCTTCAGAACTACATCACTAAATAAGCTGTTCTGCTTTCAATCCCATCACCCTGGAGAATTCATGGGCCAGTATATAAATTTGGGAGGGCACAAACACTCATTCTATGCTATCATGAAAGTGGAAACTATCAGAATCAAATCAAATCCTCAGAGCAGCCATGACCACTCCAGGCCCTAAGGGGAAGGTGACTTTCAAAGAAGCCCTAATTATATGGAGAGCTGGATAGTAGCTTTTCTCTCAAAGAAATCAGTTTTTTTTTTTTATTAAATTTCTTCCCATGAAGCAAACTCCAAACCCAGATGGCTTCACTGATTAATTCTCCCAAACAGTTAAAGAAGGAATAACACCAGCAAAACATAAAGCTTCTCCAAAAAAGGAAAAGAAGCTCCCTTCCCAAATCATTTTACGAAGTTAACATATGCTTGATATCCAAAAGTGACAAAGCTATTATAAGAAAGGAAAATTACAGGCCTATTTCTTTATGAATATGGATGAAAATGTCCCAAGCAAAATATTAGCAAATGAAATCCAGCATTCATTCCTGTGGAAAGCTTGCATCTCTTGGCTATACTGGGTATGATAACCAAGTTTGGATTTCTTTTCCTGAGACTAATAACCTGCTTTAATGCCTGAAACATCAATTAAAAACTGAACGTCACTTGATTATCTTAAAATGACTATATGACACTTGACTAAAAAAGAGGCAACTTAAAAACACTAAGTCAATTCAGGAAAGGGACAGTCTTTCTCAACTGATATGAAGGGGCCTGAAGTACACAGTGAAGAACAGGCAGTCTCTCTAACAGATGGTTCTAGACAACCTGGATAACTACAAATGAGGGATGACTCTGGATCCCTCTCCCCTTGCACAAAATTCAACTCCAAATGAATCAGAGACCTGAATGTGAGACCTGAATTTCAGAAACTGTTAAAGAAAAAACTAGGGAAAACACATGAAGATTAGGCATGGGCCAACACTTTCTCAATATGACTCCAGCTGCTTAAAGAAGAATGCCAAGGATCTACAAATGGGGCTTCATGAAATCAAAAAGCTTCCATACAGCAAAAGGAAATTGTTAACTGAGTGAAGAAACAGCCTGCATAATGGGCAAAAATCTTTGCTAGCTACTTGTCTGATAAGATTAATACTTAACATACACACACTGAAAAAAACTAAAGAAGTCAAACACCCCAATCATTAAATAGGCCAATGAAATGAACAGCTCTCAAAAGGTAAAATGCAAATGGACAATAAATATGAAAAAAAGTTTGTCTGGGCTGGATGTTTTAATGTTAACCTCACACAAGATAGACTCATTTTGGAAAAGAGAACCTCAATTGAAAAATGACTCCACCAGGCCTATAGGCATGCCTGTAGTGCATTTCCTTGATTGATGATTAACCAGGGAGGGCCCAGTCCATTGTGGATAGTGCCACCCCTGGGCTGCTGGCCCTTGCTGCTATAAGAAAGCAGGATGAGCGAGCCATAAAGAGCAATCCAGTAAGCAACATTCCTCGAAGGCCTCTGCATCAGTTCCTGCCCAGGTTCCTTCCTTATTTGAATTCCTACCCTGACTTCCTTCAGTGATGTGGGACTATAAGCTGAAATAAACCTGTTTCTCTTCAAGTTGCTTTTAGTCATGATGTTTTATCACATCAACAGAAACCCTAACTATGACAACCTCACTAGCCATCAGAAAAATGCAAATCAAAACGACACTGAGATTCCATTTTATCTCACTGAGAATGTCAGTCATTAGGGAAACAGTAACAACTGCTGGTGAGGAAATGGACGGAAGAGAAAACTTATACACCCTGGGAAGAAAATTAGTTCTTCAAAGGGCAAAAATCAGCCTACCATTTGGCCTGCCTGTACCTCTATAGGATATGTACCAGGGGACTCCAAGTCAACACAGAGATACTTGAGTATCAATGTATACTGAAACATATTTATTATAGTAAGTTATATAAGCACAGTAGATGGTAACAACAGGGGAATGGATAAAGAAAATGTATGCAATGGAAATTTTCGACTACAAAACAAAGTTACTTCACTTGCAGGAAAACAGCTGCAATTGGAGATGGTCATGTTAATTAAATTAATCCAGTTTCAGAAAGACAAATATCACATATATTTTGTCATTTGTGGTTCTTAGATTTTCTAAAGATTCATAAAATCATGTGTGTGTACAAGACATTCAAGTACCATTGAAGCTGCCTGGGGAAGAAAGGAGATTACTGCAATGGGGGAAGGGGAAAAGGGAGGCAAGGATGGTATGGGAGAGTATGCTCATTGAATGGCATCTACTTGTATGAAAATTTGTATAAAAATGTCCATGAAAAAATTAATGTGAACACTACACTTAAAATACTGAAAGTTTCCCCCCCAAAACTGAGAATGAGGCAAGGATGCCCAATATCACTTTCATCCAAACGTGTGTGCTCCCAAATAAAACAAGAAGCTAAGAGAATGCAATCAAATATATAGCAAAAGATACAGTAGTATGCAAAATACTATAAAATAATGTTAAGAGAAATAATTTAAAACATCACCAGAGGGGTATACTATATGCATACTGGGAAGATTCAATAATGTAAAATTGTCCATTTTGCTTAAATTGATCTCCAGATCTAATTTAATACCAGAGTATCAGCATGACTAAGGAAATTATTAGGCTTCTTATAAAATTTAAATAAAAATGAGAACAATCAAGAATATGTAAGAAAAAAGAATGAATTTAAGTATTTCTACTTACTATCAATTCTCTGAGTAAAGCTGGTACAGGAGCACAGCCAACTGAATGGAACAGACCCAAGCATGTACGCCACTAAGGGGAAAGGACAGTGTTAGGTGGTTGAGCTTCCTAATAAGCAGTATTTGCTGAGTGGGTATCTATAGGAAAAAAGGCAATGTGGCCAATGCTTCAAACCAAAACCAAAAGCCAGTTCCAGGTGGTTCATAGACAAAATCTGAGTGATCAAGCAGTAAAGCTTCTCGATAATAAATCCAGTCAACAGCACAATGGAGAGCCGCAATTGATAACAATTCTGTACTATACAGACTCCAGTTTCTTGGTCATACTAGTCATTTGAATGCTAAGCTTAAAAAGAGTGATATCACATAAAAATGGTGAGACTATGGAGCAGCCCCAACTCTGGCACTGCTGATAGGTGAGTATAGGACAGTTTGAGACAAAATTGGTATGCAAACTCTGTGCATATAGACATGCATTAAAATGTGTTTGCATTGAGCGATCATGTTAAAACCTGCAGCAAGGAGGGCCACATGTCCACTACTAGTAGCAAGGTAATGGAGAGAGAGTAATTGGTTGTCAGTGGGTATTATTTTAAAAGTGTTCTGGTTTTTGCTGGAAGTTAGTTACACTGGAAGAATCACTACAGGATAATTAACAATCTATATAGTTTGGGTCTGTGTACTTTTTGGAATGTATATCATACTTCCATTTGAAAACATCAGAAAAAAAGAACTTTATTTTTTTTTAAGTTGGTGGAAGGAGCTAGGGGTGTATAAGTAGCAAGTGTGGCTAATAATACATTGTATTTATGGTGTGGTGAGATGGATCAGTGGGTAAAGGCACCCACCACTAAGACTCAAACCTGAGCTCAATCGATGGAACTCATGTTGTAGAAAACAGAACTGCCTCCCACAAGTTGTTCCCTGACACCATGTGCTCACTGCCGTATCTGCAGTATTTCTGTCTCTGTCCATTTCGCTCAGACCTTCAGGCTCAAGTTCCACTCTCCCCTTAGGTGACTTTAAATGCATGTGGATGATTCATCCAACACCACAGCCTCTCTCTAACTCCCACTGTAGCTTGGCACTCCAGCAGCCATATTCTGTTGTTCATCTGATGGGGACTGTCCTTCTGTATACGTTTATCTTATTGGTTGTTGAATAAAGTACTGTTTGGCCAATGAGGCAGCAAGTTAGGCAGGACTAGGAGTCGAGGAGGATTCTGGGAAATATAGTAAAAAGAAGTCTTGTGATACAGGCAGGAAGAGACATAGCAGGCAGACTCATATATAAGCAGGGACAAACAGGAAGTGATCCCTTTTCTCTTGCTCTTGATCCTGGTCTCTGCTCTGGAGTTGCCATGTGATCTGCCGGCAAGAGAGGGTGCCAGCAGAAGGCGTCCTTGATAAGATAAGTCTTATAAAATATATAGATTTATGATAATTAAGACTGAGCTAGCATATAAGAAATCCTAGTCGATTGGCCAAGCAGCATTTATACCTAATATAAGTCTCTGTGTGTTACTTGGGACCTTAATGTGGGCGGAACTTGGGTGGCCTGGCAGAAAGCACCCATGTGGCAGCAGGGCTCGGGCAGCTTGGCAGAAAGACTTATTGTTACACTCATCAGCATCTCAGATTTTCCCATCTTTTGAAACCTCTTCTGAACTGTCAACATTTCCTCGACCTCTTGGTTATATTTTCTGTGCGGCCACTTCCTCTCTTCCCTTTAAATTTGAGTTGCTGACTTTGTCCCTTCAGCCACTCTCCTTCCAATACTCTTGTCCCCCTTGTTCCAGTTCTGGATGAGGGCCTGCTTTGCCCTTGAGTCCAGGGTGCTAAGCACCACGTCCCATAATCACATAGCCTGCGATATGTTCCAGGAGTCCTCCACATCCTGTGCATATCCTGTTAATTTCTCCAGTCCCTTTTCTATCTGTTCTAGGAAGTCAATCAACATTTGTCCCCAAACCCAAAAGCCTTCCCTGTCTGTAGATGCAGATGAGTTTCCTCCCACTTTACAGAGGAAAAAGTCAAACCATGCAGTAGCCTTTCTTACCCACTAAACACATCTGACCGTAACACATATTTTGTTTTTGGTACCAAGGAAGAGCCACCTTTTCTGTCTCTACTATACCACCTTTTCTAGGGCATTGCTCTTTCAACTCTACCCCTCCTTTATCCTCACTCTCTACTGGCTTTTTCCTGACAGTTTTCCTTTCCAGTTGTTTCTATTGGAAAAACCAATCAACAATGATGAAGAAGACACCTTTCTTTACTCTCCACGGCCCTAAGAATCACCCCATTTCCCTGTCAGAATTTATAGAATCCCTTGTTCTGTGTTTGCTTCCTCACCTCCCACACCAATCAACAAGCCATGAAAATGTGCTTATTCACTGCAAGAACACAAATGACTTTGGTGTTGGTAACTGGATGGGCACAGTTTAGTTTTGTTCTTACTTGAATCCTCTGAAGATGAAGCCCACCCATCCCTGAGGTCCTCAACACCAGAATTTTCTGACATTCTCCCCACACTGCTTAAACTAGCTTTCCTTAGCACCTTTCAGAGGCAAATACTCTTCTACATGATGCTGACATGTGCTTTAGAGCTGCCTTTTAGGCTGTCTTCACTTTCCATTTTACATATGCCTGTGTGACATCATCTACTCCTGTGGCTTTATTACAATTTATTGCTGATACGTAAAATGCCACATTTCTACTCCTGGACTGTCTCACGGGGTTTCAACGTATGGCTCTTATCCAAGGTATCTTGCATGTTCTCTAAGCTTAGCATCTGCATCCAAGCTCTTGGCTGTAAATAACATTATACATCAACCAGTTTCCCCAGCACTGTCAGCTCCACTTCAATACCATACAGTAAGTACCACTATGATTTGTCTCCACAAGCCTCTACTCCATCTGCATCATTTTCATGTTTTGTTTGGGTTACTTGTCTCCCTGTTCCAATTCTCCTTCATCCAATCTTGTCCATATCATAGCCTGACTAAGCTGAAGTTATTTGTTTAAACAATTGTTTTTCAATTAATTTAGTACTCAAAAGAACCCTAACCCTGTCTGTGTTGCTAACCTAGCAATTACTATAGTACCTGCTACTTAGTAAGGCTATAATGAAGTATTTATCAAAGGGATGGACAAATTGACATCCTTATCCTTATTTCATTTGGAAACAATATGGAAATAGTCCTAAGGACATCATGCAGGTATCAAGATGTTTATGCTTAATTTGGCACCCCAGAGTTTAGTATAGCTTTGGTCCACATGTACTGGGCCTATAAGAAGGAAAACACAAACCTAAGATAGGAAGGCACTCCATACTCCCCAGTGTGACACCAGGGAAGCATCCAAGGGAGGAAGCAGTGGGACTTCTCATACTCTGCCAGTTTACAGTTGTCACATCACTTGACCAGGGTACCCACTCTTTTCTCACAGCTTGTTTTGTCTTCCATCACACTAGATTATTTCCTGTTCTGTCTGTCACTGCAATTTCGGCTCTCTAAGAGCAGTTCTATTCTGTTGTTGAACCTCCAACGGTTGTTCAATGAACATTATCAAATTAAACTGTACCCAGGGTTTTTAAATGTTTATCTTGTGCAACATTTAAGAGAACACATTAATTAGATCATTTCATCTCTACTTTAGATATTAAAAAAGAGGCCATGAAAGTTTTATCATTTCCTTAACATGTAGCTGAAGTTATAGAAGGAAACCAGAGAGTATAGTATCAAAAACACACAAGTAAAATGTAAGAAAATTTGAAATGCATCAATATCACAATAAAACAAACAGATTAAACACTCTGGTTTAGAGACAAAAACCAGAGACTGAAATTAGTACAGCAACATGAACATCTATAGAGGCAGGTGCATTTGTGCACACACATGTGTGTGAGAGATAAGCAAGTGAGATGATGTAAGCCTGCTATAGTCTACCTCTCCTGTTATTTAAAACAAAAGAAGAAAAAACCCCATATGATCATCTCATTAGATGCAAAAACGCCTTGACAAAATCTAACACTGCTTCATGATGAAACTCCTGGAGACATTAGAGATACAAGGGACATACCTAAACATAATAAAGGCAGTCTACAGGAAACCGATAGCCAACATCAAATGGAGAGATACTCAAAGCAATTCCACTAACATCAAAACAAGACAAGGCTGTCCATTCTCTCTATACCTATTCAATATAGCATTTGAAGTCTTAGCTAGAGCAATATGACAAGTGGAGGAGAACAACGAAATATATATGGGAAGGGAAAAAGTCAAAGTATTGTTATTTGCAGATAATAGGATAGTATACACAAGTGACCCTAACAATTCCACTGTGAAACTCTATAGCTGATAGACACTTTTGATCAAGTGGCTGGATACAAGATTAACTAAAAAAAAATAGTAGCCCTTCTATATAGAAATAAAAAACGGATTGAAAAAGATATCAAGGAAACCTTTTATAATAGCATCAAATAATATAATATAAAATATCTTGGGGTAACTCTAGCCAGGCAAGTGAAAGACCTGTATGATAAAACCTTCAACTCTTTGAAGAAAGAAATTGAAGAAGCTATCAGAAGATAGAAGGATCTACCATGCTCATGGATTGGTAGGATTAATATAGTAAAAATGGCTATCCTAGCAAAAGCAATCTACAGAGTCAATGAAATTCACATTGTACTACTGAGACGTAGTAATAAAAGCAGCATGGTATTGGCATAAAAAAGACTTGTTGATCAATGGAGTCAAACTGAAGACCCAGACACAAATCCAGTCACCTATGGACACCTAATTTTTGATACAGAAGCCAGAAATACACAATAGAAATAAGGCAGTATATTTAACAAATGCTATTGGTCTAACTGGATGCCTCAGTGTAGAACAATGCAAATAGATCCAAGTTTATCATCTTGTACAAAACTCAAGTATAAGTGTATCAAAGGCCTCAATATAAAACCAGATACACTGAACCTGATAGAAAAGAAAGGGGGACTAGTCTTGAATGCATTAGTACAGGAGACAACTTCCTGAACTGAACAAACATAGTACAGACATTAAGATCT